ACGACGACGGAGTCGACAACGGCGACCAGCGTCGTCCAGAGGTCCCTGGAGGCCTACAGAGGACAAAACGATTCAGAGCTAGCATGGGCAAACATAATTCCGAATTTCGGTATACCCATCGGCGACGACGGCCACGACGACGGTGGTGGCGACGACGGCGACGACGTCGATCACGTTGGCGGCGGCCACAAAAGGGGGCGACGGTCTCGGCGACGATGTCAACCACGTCGACGGCGCCGGCCATAGTGGCGGCTTCGATGGCGTGCCTTCCGTCGAGAAGAAGCATCGCGTAAACATAAAACGTTCGACATCCCGCACGGATTCCCTGGATCTGCCCTGGACCCCAACAAATTCGCACAGACCGCCGCAAGTCGATGCTTATATTCAGAATTGTCTAAATGATCCGCATCAGCGTTGGGCCACGGCCATGGTATATGTCCCGCGAGCCCTGAAAGCCATGCCACTTGGCACATGGGATCGCGCACAAGCTGCTCACATGAGCGACGCAGAAAAGTGGGTTCGACTGCGTCGACATTCACGCGCTAGCTTTCTGCGTAGGATGGCGCGTAAGCGCCCTCGTCTCCACTGCAGGGTGCCGCGCGGGCGGCCCGCACATGCTGTCGCGCAAGGTCGCTGTGGCATCGCGCGAACGAGTCGTTTGTTCGTCGCTCATCTGCTCGGCTGCCTCGATACGCCCGTGCTGAAACGCAACACACACCGTGCTTAGCACGTCTGGGTTAATTACGCTTCGTGTTGGCCCAGCATAGTGGCCCACGTGTTGGCGAACGCATCGCGTCGACCTGCGTTTGTTCAGTCTGCATGTTGAGCTCCGTATCGGTACGTCACTTGGTGCATTCCAAAGACGGCCTTGCTTTCGAGGATAGAAGGAGTTGTCATCTCTTCAGCGGCGGAAGGCCGCCGAAGGTCGGCGGAAGGCGGTGGAACTAGAACGAGGCCGCCTCCGCCGGCGGAAGCTGGCGGAAAGGGCGGCGGAGGGTGGCGCAAGTAAAAGATGCGCCCCCAAGAGCTGAAATCGTCTTGGGGTTCCGGGTTTCCGGAATCGGCCACGCGTTTCGGTACCGTTTCACCGATTCCCATCCCCATCCCCGTCCCCATCCCGACCTCCCACCATCCCGCCACCCCAGTTGGGGACATCCCCTTCGAAACCCGAAGGACATTGCTTGTAATGGAAGATGACGATTAAAGAATGACCTGGGGTCGTGTTCACGCGGCGGCGCCCGGGATGACGATTAGAAAAAACCGGCCGCGGGCTGGAAAACTATGTTTTAAATCGTTCTCCTCCGGTCAGACAGTTGTGCAGACATAGCAGGAAACTATTTTTTTAATCGTCCCCCCCCCGATTTTTTGTTAATCGTCATCCCGCATGATCGGCCAGTTGGGCCCAGGCCACGCCCGTGGGGAGGGGGGTCGGATACGCAGTGCTCAGTGTCGCGTGTTGCGTTTCGGGGGCGCCTGCGGTTGTGTCTCGTCCTGCCGCTCAGGGGCCATGGGCGGCGCGCTCGCCCCCTCGGCGGCTCCGCCGGCCCCGCCCTGGCAGCAGGCGCGCGCCGCCGCGCCGGCAGCAGCGCCGCCCCCTCGCCGCCGCCGTCGATCGATCGGTCGAGGACGGAGGATCGATCGGCCGAGAAGAAATCCCCTCCCTCCCTTTCCCGTTCCCTCAATCGTTTTCCTCGCAAAATGACTCCTCCCTGTCACGCGCCGAGGCCGGTCGAAAGGGCGGGTCGGGCGTTTCGCCTTTGACCTCCTCACCACTGATGATCCTGAAGCTTGAGATTTGGAACAGCTTGCCGGAATCAATCGAGAAGAGATCATCTCTTCCCTCCTTCCCTTCTCCTCAAGTCCTGCTCGTTGGGACAGTCGGACCGAGGTACAAGATCCAGGTCGGCTCGGCGAGGTTACCTTAGTGTTCTTCGTGTCTTCGTGCTTGTTTCAGGTTCTTGTGCATCCTGGGGAGGACTCCCTTGCATGTTCTGTGCGGTTTTGGCCGACGGAATGTCTCACGCTCTTGAGGGATCTTCTTCTGGCCTCGGTCCGACTGTAAATCACTCCTCCCTGTCCTGTTTTGTGGACGGTCGGACGGGCGGGCCGGGCGTTTCGCTTGAGGCTTCCTCTCCGAGGCGGCTTCGTTTTGAGGGCGGGCGGGGGCGCTTCGCTTGAGACAGGAGCGAACAGCCCAGGGGGGAGCAATTCGTGTATCCAGGGGAGCCGATGGTACACCTTAGGCGATGCTGAAGAAAACTTTAATTTTCGGCCAGGGTCTCGATTATTCTTAATGTTTCAACGTAAATCCTAAGATTTTAATAGAAATTTTGGGTTTTTAGTCAAGTTCTGAGACTATGAATTTCTTAACCCATGATTTCTCAAGCATTTCGCAAGGTGTACATGCCCTCGGTGAGGCTCCCGGGCGAATGCGTGTAACGCCCGCCCCTCGGCGATTCGCCCCCATCGTCGCCCCGTATCCTCACCATTTGTGATCCTGAAGCTTGAAATTTGCAGCAGCTTCCCGGATGGAGGGCGGGCGGTTTTCAGAATGTAGTTATCGCGTGAGCGGTGCGTGCATTCTTTTCAAACGGTTGCAAGAGTTTCGCGGGTTGAGGGCGGGCCGTTTTCAGAATGTAGCTCTCGCCTTAACGCCACGCGCTGTCGTTTTCAAAATTGTCAGCATCTCACGGGTTGTCGCTTCAGTGCCGAGTACACTCGTTTTCAAAATGTGCAAACATTTGACGCATTCACATGGTTAGAAAACCCGAAGTTGCGTTTTGGAGTGATTCAGGGTTGCCAGGGCGCAACAGTTACGCTGATTCGCGGTATTGAAGTCCCAGGAAAGGTGTTCTGGCACGAGTCAGTTCGTGGCATTGGAGTCCTGAGAATGGTGTTTTGGTGCGCTTCGGGATTTTCAGACGGTTGTCTCCCAACGGAGCATTTCCCTCAGTGGTAGTCGCTTGTGAAGAGGGAGCTTGGAAGGAGGGTTTCTTCCAACATCGCTGAGGCACCGTCGTGGTCACGGCTGGATCCGCCTCGGAACAGTTGCGAGAACGCACCCAGGAGGTCAGGTGTCGTCGTCGTCGTCGTGGTCGTCGTCGTCGTCGTCGACGTCAGGGCCGTCGTCGTGGTCGTCGTCGTCGTCGTTGTCTTCGTGGCCGGCGCCGCCGCCGCCGTCGTCGCTGTCAGAGTTGCTCGGCAGCTTGCAACGGTGTTCCTGCCCTGGTCGGGCCTCCCTGACCCTGCGGAGGCGCGTCTTTGTACCTCCTGGGACGGCGCACGGCGCGGTCGTCGTAGCCGTCGGCGTCGACGTCGCAGTGGCCGTCGACATCACAGTGGTCGTCGCCGATGTCGCCGTCGACGTTGACACCGTCGTCCTTTCCTCCTCCTTTCCCATGCCTCCTCCGCCCCCTCATCGTCCCCCTCCTCCGCCTGATTTTTCTCATCGTCCCTGTCGCCCTCCTCCTCCTCCTTCTCCTCCTTTCATCCTCCTCCCTCTCCTCCTCCCCCCTCCTCCCCATCCTCCCCCCCTCCTCCCCCTCCTCCCCTCCTCCCTCCTCCTGCTCCTCCTCCTCCTCCTCCCACCTCCTCCTCCACCTCCTGCTCCTCCCTCCCTCCTCCTTCTCCTCCTCCTCCTCGTCCTTCTCCTCCTCCCCCTCCCCCTCCTCCCCCCCTCCTCCTCCCCCTCCTCCTCCTCCTCCTCCTCCTCCCTCCTCCTCTCTCCTCCTCCTCCTCCTCCTCCTCCTCCTCCTCCTCCTCCTCCTCCTCCTCCTCCTCCTCCCCTCCTCCTCCTCCCCTCCTCCTCCTCCTCCTCCTTCCCTCCTCCTCCTCCTCCTCCTCCTCCTCCTCCTCCTCCTCCTCCTCCTCCTCCTCCTCCTCCTCCTCCTCCTCCCCCTCCTCCTCCTCCTCCCTCCTCCTCCTCCTCCGCCTCCTTCGCCTCCCCTCCTCCTCCTCCTCCTCTCCTCCTCCTCCTCTTCCTCCTCCTCCTCCTCCTCCTCCTCCTCCTCCTCCTCCTCCTCCTCCTCTCATCCTCCCCTTCTTCCAGGCGGCTCGCGGGAGGGAGCGAGGCTCGGGAGGCGGCCTTCCGAGAAGGTGGGGGGTGGGGCTTCTCAGATGCCCTCTTGGAGGCCCCCTGCCTCTTCAGAAGGCGCCCCCCCCCTCGCCCCCGCCCACCCCCTTGGCTCGGGTCGGACGGACGAAAGGCGGGGAATCGGGAAAGAGTAGGGGAGCGAAGAGTGACAGAAGCGTAAAAACTCGGAGGTCCGAGTTTTTGGGTTTACGCCACTCCTCGGCCCCCTTCTGAGGGGAGGGTGCCAGAAGTCTGCTGCATGCAGGAGGCCTCGGCCCCGCCGCTGGGCGCACTCCGCCGCCGCGGGGCGCCCTCCGCGATGGATTACCCGGAGCGTTTGCTCAGCGTGTCCCGCCGCGGGCCCTTGCCCACCACGCCTGGGCGCGGCACGCGGACCACGTCCCAGCCCCCGCGGATCAGCAGCCCGAGCCCTTCGGAGCCCCCCGCTCCGCGACCGGAGCGGCACGCGCTCCGCCCGCGCGCCCCGGCGTGCCGCAGGGGCCGCCGCGGCGAGCCCCGAGGCAGGAGCTGCTGCCCCGTGCTGCCCCCCGCTCCGTCCGCCCCGACTGGTGCGCCAGCAGCCCGCCCGCCCTCCTCCTCCTGCTCCTCCTGCTCCTCCTCCTCCTCCTCCTCCTCCTCCTCCTCCTCCTCCTCCTCCTCCTCGCCTTCCTCTCCTCCCCTCCCTCCTCCCCCCTTCCCCTCCTCCCCCTCCTCCTCTCCTCCTCCTCCTTCTCCTCCTCCTCCTCCCTCCTCCTCCTCCTCCTCTCCTCCTCCTCCTCCTCCTCCTCCTCCTCCTCTCTCCTCCTCCTCCTCCTCCTCCGCCTCCTCCCGCTCCGCCTCCTCCCTCCTCCTCCTCCTCCTCCTCCTCCTCTCCTCCTCCTCCTCCTCTCCTCCTCCTCCTCCTCTCCCCCCCCCCGCGCCCCTGGAGGCCGCGAGGCCCGGCGGGAGGCGGCGGCTGCAGGGCAGCCCCCCGCCGTGCAGCGGGGAGTGCCAGGCGCGCGCGCGCCCGGGCGGGGCGGAGGGGGCGGGCGGTGGCGGGGGAGCGGCGGGGCGCCCTCGCCGTCCGCGCCTGCCTCCACTCGCCACGGGGGGGCCGCGGTTCCCGAGGGGAGCGGGTCCTGAGGTTGTCCGCCGTCGGTCCGAGTCTCGGGGCCCTCCGCGGGCCCCGAGAGAGGCAGAAGACGACGCAGGAAGAGAAACTTCGGCATGGGGGAAGGCACCAGGCTCCAGGAGCCGTTTCCGTCAGGACCCGTTTGCCCCATGCTAGGCTTTTTTCCTCCTCCTCCTCCTCCTCCTCCTCCGCCTCCTCCACCTTAGGACGCATCGCCTGGGAGGTTCAGCTCAGCATCGGCGCTGGTTTTTTTCCCGTGGCCCCAGAGCTGGCCCAATCCGGCGCAGTCCCGCTTCATTCCGTTTAATCTTGCCAAATCAGGCGCAATCTTGGCGAACCCGGCTGAATGGCATGTCAAGGTGGTTGGCATTCGCCAAATCGCTCCCTGTAGACCTCCCAGAAGTTGCCTCCTATGTTTGTTGCTTCTCCCCCCCCCCGCCCTCCTGCTCCATTCTTCTCTGTCGCCCCGTGCTGCCCCCCTGCGCCTACCCGACTGCCCTGGCCTGAGGCTTGCGCTGGCCCTTCCCCACCACCTCCTCCCCGCTCGAAGAGGGCAAGCAACCACGTGAACATCAAACTTTCGAAGGTCCGCGCAGACTTCTCGGGTCGGCGCGGGCATTTCTCGGGTCGGCGTGGGGCCCTGCTCCCTGGCGCGCGCGGACCTGCGGAGGTCCGTTGCGGACTTCTGCAGTGGCAGGCCATGCCAAGAAATGCCCTGGTTGCCTCCAGGATGCCCTGGGTTTCGGGGGTCTCGAGGGTTTTGCCATGGAGGGCGTGGCGCTCCCACACCACGAATCAGTGGTCGTCCTGGGGTCACTCAGGATTGGGCCTCTTGTGGGGCGTTTTCTCTTGGTCGAGCTCCTAGGTACGGCAGGATCTGCGCTGGGCCCACTCCCCTGGCGCGCGACGCGGGTCAGGGGCGGCGACGACAGGGGCGACGGCCTCGGTGACGACGTCGGCCACGGCGGCGGCGGCGGCGGCAACGGCGGCGACTTCGACGTCGCGCCTCCAGTCGAAGACGCATCGGCATATAAACATAAACTTTTGGAGGTCCGCGCGGGCTTCTTGGATCGCCACCCTCCAGCAGCGGTCCGAGAACTCCGCGCGGTCCTCCGAAAGTTGTCGTTTATGCAGTGTGTGGTTTCCTCTTCTTCTTCTTCTTCTTCGTCTTTTACTCCTCCCCCGTGTTCAGATGCAACTCGTAGGGGGTTCAATTAAACATCGACGCAGGCATCCCAGTGGTCGAAAACATGTCCAATCGCGCACAATCCAATTTCATCTGACGCACTCCGGCTCAATCAGGCTTAATTCTGGGCTGAATCAGGGTTGGTATTGCTTCATGGCCATTTGGCTCGGCTTTCATAGACTGCCTGTGAATACTTGTTCTTTGTTGCCTCCTGGCCCTCCTCAGCCTCAACCCCCCATCCATCATCATTCTCATCCATCCCCCCATCCATCCCCCCCCTCCTCCTCCTCCTCCCGATTGCCCCCCATGCTCGTCCTCCCGTCCCTCCCGTCCCCATCCTCGTCCTCCTCCTCCTCCTCACTCTCCTCCTCCTCCTCCTCCTCCTCCTCCTCCTCCTCCTCCTCCTCCTCCTCCTCCTCCTCCTCCTCCTCCTCCTCCTCCTCCTCCTCCTCCTCCTCCTCCTCCTCCTCCCCCCCTCTCCGTAGCCATTTTGGCTCAAGTCCGTAGCGTGGCCCAAGCGTCAGCAGCGGACGTGAGCATTCTGGCAAGGGGGCACCTCTCAGGTGCACGCGGCCCCAACTGCTCTCCTGGCTTCGCCAGGCATACTAACGTACCTTCTTATTCTTGCCTGCCACGGCACGCCGATGGGAACGGATGAGTTGCTCTCAGCCCCGTGGCGAGCGGACGGGTCGACGAATAAGAAAGCCACTGTTGTGCGACGCAAGCTACACAGGCCCCCTATCTCAGGGCCCGCGTGGCGATGCGGTCACTGCGGATGTGCACGCAACGAGGAAAGATGGCAGTGGTGCAAACATTGTTTCTCATATCGCACACCAGAGCCAGGATGGACCCAGCCACAGCACTGGCCGTCTCGGGCAGGCAGGTCGTGGTCAGGATCAGACAATTCGTGGAATGACAGCCGTCAGAGTTCAGAGCACCGTCTGCCGCTGGCCGCCGGCCTCCAGCCAGGGCCGAACTCCTCCACGCCAGCACTGGCTTGGGCGAACCTGGATGGTCTGGATGCTGCTGAGTTGGGTTCTCTGCTGTCCATCGCCAACAAGACGGGTGACAAGAACTTGGCCACGCGGGTTCAGGCGCGCATCAACATCCTGGCAAAGCCTGCCCCCCCAGTCAACGAGAAGACCATGGAACAGCGACTGGCAGAATCGCGACGTGAATGTGACAAGCTCCTTCAACGGCTCTCTCGAGAACTGGATAAGCACGACAAGTGGAAGGCCCAGCTGCAGGAGCACGAGAACTACATCGTGGGCCTTCGTGCAGAGTTGGAGATCATGGACACCCAGCACGCGGAGCTCGCCCGCAAGCTCGCGGCCACGGGCAAAGCTGCCACACCCGAACCTGGACCTGTGCCTGCGCGGATCAAGCTGGAGGACCTCGTTTCTGGCAAGGTGGGCACCCTGGACTTCGATCTGGGCCTCCTTTCAGACATGCCTGAAGGATTGGAGCTGGACGAGGAGGATCGCCTACGGATCGAAGAACGCACCACACAGTTGCGGGAGCTCCTTACCACGAAGGCTAAGGATCTCTTCTCCTCAGCGCTGGACGAGGCCAAGCGCGTGGTCCAGGAGCATGAATCACAGAAGACGCGGCTACTGGCCAAACGTCGGCGAGTGCAGGATGTTGAAGATAAGGAACCCCAGTCCAAGCCAGGAGGCGCAGAGGGTTCCCAGCCAGAGACAGCTAGTGCTGCAGGTGATGGTGGCGCAGAGACCACGTCTGAGCCCCTTGGCCATGGCTCAGAGGGACAGGTCTCCCTACCAGAGCAGCAGGCACAGTTCGCCTCTGTTCGCGAGAGATTGGCCAAGTTCGAGCGCAGGGGGGGCCCCAACCACGAGGGCCCAGCAGCTACATGATTCAGGGACATCGGTGTCAGCTGGTGTGCTCAAGCTCATCTCGCGCACACCGCCTTTCCAATGCTACCCAGGCACGGACATTCCCTTTGGATGTGCATACCATGTTCTTGCTCACGCATGTGCTCCCTCTGGTCGAGCTATGGGTGCTGACAAATTCTACTACGAAGCGCTGGACACAATTCAGAAGGTTCGAGCTATGATGCATTGGGCCCCACTGTCGCTTTCTGACGAGGTGACGGGGACCCCTTCGACGTGTACACCGAGTTCGATGCCGTCTGGGACAGCGTTCAGTACGGCTTCGACAAGGGCGAGCCTGTCGGGCGCCACAGGCGCTACGGGTACTCATAGGTGCCACGTCCTTCCTGAGGCATCGCCTTCCGCACGGTCAGTTACTCAGGCAGATGGTGGGTTCCAGGCGTCAGAACGTAAATCCTGGGCTGCCCAGAGCAGTGCAGGTTCACAGTCGCACCTGTGCTTTCCACCCGCCAGGGCACCCTCTCCACAGGAGGCGGGGGTCTCAGCGCGTGTGGGTGGGGGCACAGGAGTTTGCTGGACTCGCTTACCTTGGGAAGCTGGCAACATTGGTGATGTCGAGACGGCGGCCGAGTCACCACAGGCCATGGGCCTGCCACCTGCTGACGAGACCAGAGCGATGGCAGTGCAGGACTATGCAGATATGCGAGCTGACCTCAGAGAATGGGCAGCGGCTTGGTTTGACTTACATCTGGGGCTATACGCAGGAAGTGGTGACTGGCGTCTTTGGTGCGAGGCGTTTCTGCACACGATCCTTGAGCGACAAGGGAACGAGCCCTTGCGCCGTTTGTTGCAGGCCTGGTTTCCAGGCCGCACCTTGCAATCTGTCATGGAAGAATTATGTGAGTTGGCATGGAGACAGTCTGAGCCCAGGCGTGCGGCCTTCCTGGAGCGGCTTCGCACGGCGCCCATTGAGAGACGTGTACAACTACAGCGCCGCCACTGGGAGCGCTTGGATGAGCTGAGAGCCATGTTCAGGAGGCTTTTGGGCTCGGCTTTCCCTACGGTGCGGCTTCCTCCCCCCAGACAGCCCGACTCAGATGATGATCAGGCAGACGTTGACGCTTGCATTGCTCACTTGGTGATGTTGGCGGATGCGGAGACCAGTCTGGGACAGGCCGATCAAAGCACTGTTCCACATGACATGCAACATAAGCCTTCTGACGTTCCTGACGGTTATCGGTTTGCTCCTCTGCCTGTGGGCGGAGTTCCAGCTCGGTGTGCTGACTTGGACGATCCAGATGCTGACCCCTTCGCCAACCTCGATGACCAGTTCGGGAACGAGGAGGAGCTTTGTACTGTGGAGTCTAACATAGGATGCAGGCCTGACGCCATAGGCTCCAGCCCTACCCCGTCTCGGGAGGTTTACCTTGGAGGCCCTGAGGCCACGATCTTGGGTGTCTCGGGGAATTCCTCGTCGAGTCCGCCTATGCTGGATGCCGCTCGTCCTCTGGACTGCAATACTGAGTCAGGAACGCAGCAACGTGTCAGACCGACCCACGCTGGGGACAGCGCGCCCACACACGAAGAGCCAGCAGTTCTGCAGCACTGTACGTCCGACGAGCATGTGACGATGCTCTTCGCGAACATCACCGAATGGGGCGCCAAGGTTCGCAGCTTCGTGAACAGTCACAAGCACACCTACGCCATCGTGGGGCTGGTCGAGACGCATGTCCCCGACACCAAGTGCGCCCACTGGACAGAGGAACTCAGGAAGGACGGGTGGAGGCTCTCTTTCAAGGCAGGCTTTGCTTCTGGGAGGTCGGACTCAGGAGTCTCGGCAGGGGAGTGGCTCCTCACGCGCTGTCACTTGGCAGCTACGCAGTTTGATCGATTGAGGGACCAGGCGATTGCTGACTCGCGCATGGATCCCTTTAAAGGCTTCTCGGCCACCACGCTACACCTCAAGTCGGGCAACCTCGTCTACATTGCAGCGTACTTGCTACCGTCACTGGGGATAGCTCAGCACAACAATGAGGTGTTGGTGGCATTGGGCGCTTTTACCAAAGCTCTGGCAGATCCTTGGGTGATAGTGGCGGACTGGAACAACGAACCGCAGACCCTATTGGATAGTGGTTGGGTTGACAGACTCAGAGGACGGCTAGCGCTTCCGAACTGCAAGTTCACGTGCGACAAGGGCCAAGGGCGCATGTATGATTATGCCATTGTCTCTAAGCAGCTTACTTCGGACCGCATCAGGCTCAGGCAGGTTTTAGCTGTCCCTTGGAAGACTCATTGCGCTATTGCCATTGATGTGCTGGGCGCCAAGCGCACTTGGTGGCATAGGTCGTTGGAACTTCCAGAACCGCTACCCAGGGCCAACCGCCCTCAGCAAGAGCCAAACCCTGACAGCAAACGATCCCAGAAGCGCAAGCAGGTGGCAGATGCACGCAGACAGGAACTCCCCGAAGAGCTACGCGAGGCCTTCGATGACCTGCCATCTCAGGAGCCACAGCCAGAAGGCCCCAAGGTCGCGTTCAAGGTGGAGCAGGAAGAATGGCTCAAGATCTATGGCGAATTGGAGCAGGATACCTTCAGGCCACGAACAGCGGCAGCACAGTTGTCGACAGGCCCCCTGTCGACCTGGAGGCCCACTCAACGCTCTACCTTGGATAATCGATATGGACGATGGGTCACTACCTTGGAGCGGTCTATTGTTGCGGTCAGCGATGTGGAGGATCCCGATGTGTTTTTCGGCAGAGGGCAAGGGTATTCAGTTTCATGGAGGAAGATGCGCCCTGCCCCAGGTCGACCTCACATGTGCGACCCTGTTGCAGAATGGTGGGGGATCGCCTCCACGCTGCTTGCTCGAGGCGTGGCCTTGACACGCTCAGGCAGGGACCCTCCAGAGGCGGAGAAGTGCCTCGCGGGCTTTCGGTCCATGGTCCAGGGCCTGACAGACGCCAAGCAGCAGGAATTCTTCGGGAAAAAGGCCTTGACCACCACTGTGCAGGAGTGGAAGGACGTTGCCCTGCAGGTGCTGCACCTCAGCCAGACAGAGTTGGAGCAGCTCCAGGTGCACACCAACACGTGGGTCGACCGCGCCCAGGGGCGCTCTTTAGTCAAGTCTCGCCAAGCCTTCATGGACTGGGCAAAGCAGATGTGGGCTAAGAGGCCAGGCGCTATTCATCGTCACGTTCGTGCTCCTCCCCCTGACCCACTTCCTCGTGAGATCATCAGAGATGGAGTGGACACCGCAGACCCTTGCGTTCTCATTCGCACGAAGAAGGACTTCTGGCAGGCAGTGTGGCAGGAGGATAATGACAGCAGGGAGCACTTGCTATGGACTTTGGAGGGATTGGCCAGGGATGCTCGCGATGATCCCTTGCCACCACTGAATGAAGGACAGATTGAATCGATACTTAGACGACAATCGCCAAACAAAGCTAGAGGAGTTGATGGCTTGGGCCCAGTTGACCTTCAACGCATGCCTCAAGCTGGACTGACGGAGCTCACGTGTATCCTCAATCAAGCGGAGCTACTGCAAACTTGGCCGACAGCGTGGTTAGCTACTATTTGTGCGGTTATTCCGAAGCCAGCTGGAGGCACGAGAGTACTGGGCATGTTGCCGCAATGCTGCAAGACGTGGAGCCAGGCGCGCAGTTCGGTCACCTCCAGTTGGTCAGATGGACTTTCTGCTTTCTGGGACACGGCCATCAGAGGCAGCAGCGCCCTGAGAGCTGCGATGACGAGAAGCCTCATGGATGAGGCCTCTGCTACCACAGGCAAGGCAACGGCGACGGTTCTGCTGGACATTGCCAAATTTTACGACTCCATCTCCTTCACTCTCCTGGTGGTTGCGGCGCGGGGGCTCAACTTCCCTCCCACGGTGCTGCTCATGGAGATCCTGCTCTTCATGGCGCCGCGCATCCTCAAGGAGGGCTCGGTCATCAGCGAGCCGTTCTGCCCAGGCCGCTCGATTGTGGCTGGGTCGTCCCATGGAGTTTGCCTTGGAAAAGTGTTTTTGCATTCTGTGCTGGAGGCTGCGCACATTAGAGCCCCTCAGGCCTCGTTATGGACCTTTGTCGATGACACTGTGGCAAGATCCGAGGGCACCCAGGCCACTGTCGTTTCGGAGATGGAAGGTTTAGCTGAAGCTTTCTCGGAGGGATTCAGACTCAAGAGGCTCACTGTCTCGGACAAAACGGTTGTCTTGGCGTCCTCTCCTGAGCTTGGGAAGCACATTGCCAGAATTTTCAGAGCCCGAGGGATGCCCGCTAGGTTTGCTTCTGTTGGAGTTGATTTAGGTGTAGACACTGCGGCAGGTCGCTTTCGGACACGGAAGAAGGCACGCCAGAGAATGGCGAAAGCCAGCTGGCGTTTTTCTAGGATTGTGAAGATGCGCAGGCTGGCTGGTTTGAGGAAAGTCACCCAGGGCGCTTGGCGCACGGGAGCCTTACCACAGGCCAGCTTTGGCCATCAAGTTTATGGTATGCCACCGAGTCAGGTCCTGCTTCTTAGGCGACAAGCTGCCCGCGCGGTCTCGGGAATGGGTAAGGGCAAATGTTTAACAACTGTTCTGCAGACTGTGCTGGGGGATGGAGATCCCGCCCTGGAACTGCGCCGCCAATTGGTGGACGCCTGGCTGCAGCTGTGGAAGCGCTTCCCCGCCCTCCAGCCTCGTATTCGACGGTCGTGGGGTATCGTTCGGTCGCAGCTCGATTCGCTTGGTACCAAGAGGTGGAGAGGCATTCGGGGGCCCATAGCTGCAGTCCAGGCCACCCTTCTTGATGCAGGATGGGAGCCCAGGGAACCCGACCTGTGGGAACGACCCGACCATGCGGAGCATGCGTGGAGGTTCCCACGAATGGGCGACCCAGACTATGATTTACTCCCGATTTCTGACCATGCAGACTTGTTGCACGAGTTCGTTTCTGACATGAAGGCTAAGTTGTGGCAAGGTGCTGCAGGGCACGAGGCAGGTGACAGTTTGAAAGAAGGAGCCGATCTCCTCCCACTGCAGCAGGAACTCCGCCGCTTCGAGTCTCGGGGTCAGTCGGATCTGTGGGGCCTCACCTTGTGCGTGGCCTCGGGGGGCCAATGGCCACGTCAGCGCCAAGCCGACAGTGGCTACACGATTGACGTAACCTGTCCAAGGTGCAAGGCGGCCCCTGAGACCTTGTTTCACAGAATATGGCAATGCGCGTGTAACGTAGATCACCAAGATTTTAGCAGTACGCAGTCACTGGTTTCCCAAGCCACGGCGCAATGGGAAGCAGACCCTTCTTTATGGCTGAGAGGAGTCCCGTCGAGAGACCTCACCTGCCCCGTCTTCCTTGACCCTCTTGAGGCCCCTCCTCTTACGTACTACGGCTCCTCTCGCCTCAGTGAGTTTTGTGTTGCCCCTGGCCAGGACCCTCCCCACATTTTTGGAGATGGGTCAGGGGGGAAATACAGCAGCGACCCGAGACGCAGGCGCTGTGGCTCTGGAGTTGCCCTCATTCGTCGGGCTGGTGATGGCTCCTGGGAGCCGGTCTCGGGAGTCTCGTCCCCCCTCCTGGGGCCGCGGCAGACTGTGTCGCGCGCGGAGATAGCTGCGCTCGCCATCGCTCTGGAAGAAACCACGGGACCCATCATTTATGTCACTGATTGCCAGCCTGTCCTGGATGGTTGGAGAGCGGGTCGTGCCCACGGCAAGTTAGGCCCGAATCAGGACTTGTGGTTCAGGGTGGCGGTGGCGCTGCGAAATCGGGGGGTGGCTGAAGTACAGGTCGTGTGGACGGCTGCCCATCTTGAGGACACAGGCAAGGCTCTCAGTGCTAGGCAAGTGTTCCTCACTGCTGGCAACATGTGCGCGGACGACCTAGCGGGTAAAGCGGCGGACGAGGCCTTGCTCCTGTTTACTCGCCAGCCTGCCCCCAGTACCGACATCTATGATTGCATCGCCCACCTTGTCAGACGCAGGGCCCGACGTGCGCTGCTGTGCTCACTCCAGGTAGACCCCTGGCAGGCCACTAGGCTCGCCAAAGTGCGAGTTCCCCCACCCTCCAGGAAGGCTGCTGCCCTGAGGGACACCTCTCATGATTGTGAGCAGGTCGGGAGCAGGTGGCGCTGTAGGGTTTGCAGTCAGATTGTAGCCTCTACCCAGCTTCTCAAGTTTTGTGCCCAGTCTTGTCCAGGTCTGGCCCCAGAGGTCCGAGGCCAGAAGTCGGAGTGGAGCCAATTTGTCTTGAGGACTGGCGAGATTTTGATTGGGGCCACTTCGGCCCACTCGTCCCACAAAATCTTCTACTGGCCTGAGTTTTCCCTGCATTTTTGCGTTTGCTGTGGGCTTACCGCCACAGTGGATGGCAGGTGGCTCGCACGACCCTGCCAGGAGCCCTCCCCCAAAGGAGCCCAGAACCTTGACAGGATCCGTCGAGGCATTTTTCCCTCGCACAGGGGACCCCCGAAGGCTGTGCAGCTGGCCAGAGTGCAGCGTGAAGCTTCGGACGCGGTCCAGCGTGCGAGGGAGGCTCGGGAGGAGAGGGGAATGCAGCAGCGCCCATTGTGTGAGGGTGGTGTGGGTGGAGTGGCCCGCCGACCCACCAGGATCCCTCGCCGTGATGGCGGGGACTCATCGTCTGATTAGTCCCCGCCCAACCCGTTTTGTTTTGCGGACGCTCGTCCTTTCATGGTCACTTCTGGTCACTCCTTCATTGCCCTCCCCCCTCCATTCTCGCCCTCCGAGGCCTCCGCGTCGGCCTCGGCCCGCGGCCTCGGCCGGAGCCGGGCCTCGGGGCCCGGCGCGCCCGGTGCCGCGCGCGGCTCCCGTCGCCCCGCGGGGTCGGCGCTCTCCGGGCGCCCCGCGGGTCCCGAGGGGCCCGCGGGGCCCTGCAGCGGTGCTCCTGGCCCTGGTCGGGGCCCCCGACCAGGTCCGCCCTGTGGGTGTCCGCCGCGCTGGCGACGCACTCACCAGATTGCCCCCTTGCGAGGGCGACGTGCACGTTCGAGAGGACGGCTGGCCTCTTCGGCGGCCGACGCACGGGCGGCGCACGGGCGACGAATGCGCGACGCACCTCCTGTCGCGAAGGTGGGGGGGGGTCAGCACGCCGGTCGCTTTACTGGGCCTTAACAGTCGGGCGGCGAGCGAGGGGGGGGGAAGCGAGAAGGAGAAGGCCTCATCCTTGCGGAAGTCGATTTAGTGGAGAGGAGGCATGCTGCCAAACCATGTCCCGAGGTCTGAAGCATGCTGTCAGCATGTCTAAGATACGTAGAAGCATGTTTGAAACATGTTTAGGGCATGTTTTACACAGTTTTGAAACAATGCTAATTAACTGACAGGATTGTTAGAGTGCCCATTGTCATGGCATCTACAACCTTATAAGAAGGTTCGGAAACCCCCCAGCCTTCTCAGCAGTTTTCTAAGCCCTCCCGGAAGACAGACAGCAACCCATCAGAAGGCGCGAGGGCTTCTGAGAAGTCCCGCCGCCTTCTGAGAAGGCCTTCCCTTTCTCACTTGCCCCCCCCCTCGCCCGTCGCCGAGTTCAGGACCTCGCGGATGCGTTTCTGTCGGCCCCGTGGTCGTGGCCGTCGCCGTCGCCGTCGCCGTGACCGTGGAGATAATTGTGGCCGTCCCCGACGTCGCCGTCCTGGGGCTGCCCCGAGGTCCCCGAGCGGCCTGTGGGGGTGTGGCCGCGAATCCCCACGAGCGCCGCGCCGCGTGTCATACCGTGCTTGGAATTCCGAAAGCGACCCAATCGCCTTACGCGCAATCGGAAACGGGGAGCCACGACGTGCATTTTGGGGCGGAGGTGGCGGATTAGTAGGAGGAGCAGGAGCAGGAGAAAGGGGAGGGGGGAGACGGAGGAGGACGATGACAAACAGCAGCAGCACGAGCTGGATTCGAAGGAGCGGGAGTTGCAGGAGGACCAGGGGCAGGCGGAGGAAACGAAATGCGAGGGGCGACAACGGTGAGAAACGACTCGGATCCAGAGAAGTGGCCCGCGCAGTGGCGAGTGTGCCATGTTGAACGACGGGGGCAAAGCGCCGATCCAAAAATGATGCCCACGCTGCAGCGCCAGCATCATATTGTAAACATATAGCCTGGCGGAGAGGCCAGCTGTAAGCATCGTCTGTGGAGCTCCCTGTGGGTCCGCGATGCGTGTGAGGGGTATGCCGAAATGGGCGTGGGGACGCTTGCGAACACAACCACTGGGGTCTTCGGTGGAGCTCCCTATGGAGCCAGGGCCACGAAACGTGTGAGGGGTGTGCCGACAAGGGCGGGGGAGACGCATTCGAGCACCGCTAGTGGGGTCTTCGGTGGGGCTCCCCATGGTGTGAGGGGGGCCCTTCGGTGGAGTTCCCTATGGGGCCACGGAACGTATGAGGGGTGGCAAAAACGGCCGAGGGAAACGCATGCGATCATCGTCATTGGGGCCGTCGGTGGGGCTCCCTTTGATGGGGCCACGAAACGTGTGAGTGGTGTGGCGAAATATGTGACTGTGACCTTCAGTGGAGCTCCCTATGGGACCACGACGCGTGTGAGGGGTGTGCCGGAATGGGCGGGGGGAACGCATGCGAGCGCAGCCGCTGAGGACTTCGGTGGGTCTCCTTGTGGGGCGTCCAATCGTGTGAGAGGTGTGCCGAAATGGACGTGCGGAGAGCAGAGGCACGATGCTGACGATGGCGATGCCGTCGTCATTGCTGCTGTTGCTGGTGATGGTGGTGACGATAATGACGATGATGACGATGATGCTGCTGATGATGATGGTGTTGGCGATGATGATGATGCGGATGATGATGCTGATGATGGTGATGGTGATGGTGATGCTGATGGTGTGGCTGATGAGCATTGTACTGATGGTGGTGATGATGGTGATGCTGGTGATTAGGATGAGGATGAGGGTGAGGATGGGGATGGTGACGGTGATGATGATGATGCTGATGCTAATGATGATGATGATGATGATGATGATGATGAAGCTGAGGAGGAAGACGATGATGATGCTGCTGCTGATGATGGTGATGACGATGGCGATGGCGATGATGATGATGATGCTGATGCTGCTGCTGATGATGGTGATGATGATGTTGACGATGGTGAGGTTGACGACGCTGATAATGCTGCTGATGATGCTGATGCTGCTGATGATGGTGCCGATGATGATGATCATTGTGATGATGAGTAGGACCATGATGCTGATGATGTTGATGATGAGGAGGAGGAGGATAATGAGGACGAGGGTGATGCTGATGATGGTGATCATGCTGGCTGTGATGATGATGAGGGTGCGTATGCTGAT